GCACAGATTGAATATACTTTCTTCCAGAGCCTGGAATGGAATCCAAGATTTGAGTCTCACCATTCCTCTGCTGACAGAAAATATCTGTGAAACTAACTGGCCAAGTGTCCCATCCCACCTCTAGTGCTGGCCCACACAGAGAATGACAACCTACTAATGCTATTAGTTACTCCATTAGCTCAAATAGCAGAGGTCTATGCAGTGGATCTGAAGGTTCCAACCCTGCTGATGAACCATGTGAGTGTCAACATAATGTGATGAAATTTGTCCTTTCAGTTTACTTTTTTAAACTAGCTTTCAATTTATACACAAAAAAATGTTAATACATTAGGGGGTCCTGTGGAAAAAAATTGTATGTGACCATCAGAATGCATACACAAAAGGAGGCCAAATTAAAGTTGCATTGGCAACCTTAATTCTGGATTTTGCTAACTTTGAGTGCTTAGTTTTACAAACTAGTAATTGACCTACCATTTATAAAATAAATCAAAGGTTTTCTGAAGACCATCTTCTGAAACCTCCACAGACAAACTTTGCAACTCAGCTACATTTATAGTAAAAAAATTAAAGACATACGCAAAATACGGTCATTTACCTTCATCTTGTCCTCCCATTCCATGCCTCAATTTCTTCACCTGATGGGTCCAATCATAATCCTAGACTGCGAGCTCTCAGGGGCAGGATCTATTTTTATTTGCCGTTTGTACAGCATCTAGCACAATGGTACTCTGATCCCTAACTGAGGCCTCTAGGCACTATTTGTTAACTATATTACAATGACAACTGGCAATTTTTCCAAGCCTCAAACATCAAATTCTGTAAAATTCAAGCTTTAAGTTAAAAAAATAATAATAATATCCCCAGCACTGTTGATTGTGCAGGTAACCTTCCAAATGCTAACCAAGCATAAACCAATGCAGCGTTGTTTTGGTGATGCTAATTTTAATTCCCCCTCCCCCAAATCTCATAACATTTAGTGTTTTTCTTAAAGTTCCATCTTATAGCCATTTTATATAAAAATCTCAGCTTCCATTAAAAAAAAAATAGTACATCTTTAGTACTTATGACTGAAGAGACAAAGCTTGAAAACGTGAACCACACAAACAACGAGGAATCCAGTGGCACCTTAAAGACTAATAGATTTGGGCATAAACTCTCAGGGGTAAAAAAACCCACTTCTTCAGATGCATGAACCAAACAGGCTCAAAAACCAAAAGGAAAATTAAAAAAAAAAATGTTTTTAAAAATCTCATGAATTTTTAAAGCAACAGAGGGTCCTGTGGCACCTTTAAGACTAACAGAAGTATTGGGAGCAATTGCTTTTTACAGATTCAGACTAACACAGCTACCCCTCTGATACATGAATTTTTAAGGTAATCTTATGATTCTGAGGTCCAGTTCATGAATTTTAAACACTTAAGGTTGGCAATACTAGGGTCTGTATCTCTGCTACTGCTCATAATTTTCCCAAGCAGCTGAGAGAGTGAAATTAGAAGACCTCAAGGTCAGTTTCAGAGCTACTGTTTGGTGAGCAGTTTTGAAACTAACAAAGAACATGTAAATTTCACCTGCAACTGTTCATATCTTAAGGCGGGATATAAAGACAGACACAAGCACTGTTCACCCGGAACGAGGACTCCCAAAAAATACAGGCTGAGGGAAAATATGGAAAAACTTCAACCCATAAGAGTCTGGGAGACAGACTGTCAGAAGTCTCAGAATGGGAAGGTAAAAAATGGGCTCCTCCTTCCCTTCCAGAAACCAGAAGATCTGAGGGCTTCAAATTCATCAGGACACCTATTAGGAAGAGGTTGATATAAAAGATGGAGCCCAGTGCAGGCTCCAAGGACCACACTACAAGAGGACATCACTATGCTACTGATGAAGGCGTATGGGGAGAGGGGAGTATTACAGCCACAACCATGTGTTAACGAAATATTAACGATGAAATGCTAAAACCCCCAAAGCCAACAAAACTCAGAAGTTACTTGCAGACTGACAGAGGCTCTAGAGAAAGCGCAGGCCTACACCAGGAGTACTAGAGACTTCTGCCAGCACAGCTCTATCAGCCAAGGATGACAACCCTGACCACACAGGCGATCTCTGCCTGTACTGCACACGTGGCTCTAGAGGCGAATGCCCCAAAACCTGGAACACACACCTTAAAAGTTTCCCAGCCGGCCTGGGGCTTTCCGTGGCGAGGGGTTGTCCCAAGGCCCCGGAGAACGTTTACCCAACACCGGCCCTGCAGGCGAGCACAATAGCAGCTTGCCAGCCACCTGGGGCGGGAATGACTTTACCCCGCACGGACGGGCAGCCACCTCTGCCTGGGGGCCAGCAGCTGGGGCAGGGCAAAGCAACCCGCGGCGGGGAGGCTTCAGCCAGGGCAAACAAACGCCGGCTCCTGCAAGGAGAGACCCAGACCCTGCCGCAGCGGGGTTCCCCTGCCAGCGGCATCTCCCCACTCAGGAGCCCCAAGACCCCTCCTCCCCCGCGACCCTGCTCTTCCGCGGCCGCGCCCCCGCCGCCACGTTTCCCCAGCGCCCCTCACCCGAGTCCAGCCCCAGCTGGTAGCAGGCCAGCGGCTCCAGGGAGAGCTTGTAGCCCTCGAACTTGGGGTCCAAGAGCAGCCGCTTCACGCGCAGGGAGCAGTTGGCCGCCGCCTCCATCCTCCCGGCCAGGCCCGGAGTTACTACCTGCGACGAGGGAGAAAGTTTGGAAGGAAACTGTGTGCGTGAAGCGAGGCGCCTCACTGGCTCAGGTAAGGAGCATGCAGAGCGTGGAGCACCATGGGAATGGTAGTTTTAGGGCTCTAGCCGCAAGGGATCGCTGCTGTCAGTCGCCAGGCATGTCGGGAGTTGTATGCCGCACGGGGGTGGCCAGAACGTGGGGCATGCTGGGAGTTGTAGTTCTAGCCTCCTAGGGAACCGGCACGTCCGAGCGCCCAGACCTTAGGACATACTGGGAGTTGTAGTTTTTAAACTGAACAAGGGACGACGTTGTCCCGCACTCCATTTCCCAACATCCCCCGCGCGAAGGGAAGGGCAGGAGCTTGGCAGGGCTGGGTTCTCCCTGGGAGACGGCGTCGCCTTCTCCTCCCACAGAGCTGGGCGCGCCGCCGCGGGGGTGAGTCCCGGGGTCCTGAGCGAACCGGTCGCGGGGTTCGACTCTCCGCAGGAGGGGCCGGGGGCGCGCTCAGAGTGGGCAGGGAGCCGCGGGGCTCGGCTTGAAGTCCCCGCCCCCACCCGCGCCGCGCGGCTGAGTTCCCGGCTCTGGGGCCAGGCCCGCGCTTCCCCACGCCGCGGGGCGCAAAGGGCTGCCATAGTGACTGGCCTGGCTCTGGGGCTCCTGCGAGCCTTGGCTTGGCGCCGTGCTCCCCTGGCCGGGCCGAGCGGCGGCGCTGTGGCTACCCCTCCCCCCCAGATATCCTGTTTTAAAGGGACAGAGAGTCCTACAGTCCTGTTTTGGGGAACTTTTTCTTATATAGGCGCCTATTACCCCCCCCCCCCCGGCCCCCTGTCCCGTTTTTTCACAGTTGCTGTCTTGTCACCCTAGCCCCGACCCACAGGGCCTGGGGGAAGGTCGGGAGGGGCGGGTTACTCGCCGGCAGGGGGGATGGGGAGAAGGTAGGTCACTGGCTGGAGAGAAGTGTGGGTCTGGTCCTTGCCCGGGTGGGATGATCACTAGATGGGGGTTGGGGAGAAGATAGGTCACTGGGCGGGGAAGTGGGGGAGTAAGGGGTCTGGTCACTGGCTGATGGTGGAAGTTGGGAGGGAGAAGACAGGTAACTAGCCGGGAGGGAGAGGGTCTGGTCACTGGCTGGGGGTAGGGAGACAGCAGGTTACTGGGGAGTGGTGCTGGTTTTCCCTCTCCATCAGATGTGCTATGGAGTCTCTACCCTGTGGAGGCTCGGGGGTGTGGGGTACAAAGGCCGTCTGGTTGAAGGTTATCTGAAACTCAGCTCTTCTAACTTTATAGTACCCCACCCCCGCTTTGCTAAATCTGTGCTGCCGTCCTGGTGCTGGCTGTTGCATCATTACACAGGGAGGTGAGAGCAATCAGCTCAGTAGGACTGACACAAGCACAGCTGAATTTGATGGTCTCCAGTTTCTTATTTGACCATGTCATAGAACCACTCCATAGTTCAGGGCAGATAGCAGCCTTTCCTCAAATCAGGGCTGAAATACCAGATCTCGAGGTAAGGTGATAAAGTTGTGGGTATGAAGTGGCTCAAGTGAGTTCTGTTAGTCCTTTTATGAAAATTAAACTATATTTGTTTATCTGTCCTCCCTTTCCTTTAGTGGTGGAGAAATTATCATGTGTACATATTATCACAGGCAGCTCTGGTATTTAGGAGCAAAAGTTTTCTACATACCTTCATCAAAATATCTGGTAATCTCTTATTAGAGCCATGAATTTAATGCCTGTAGAGAGACAAGGTAGATGAGGTAATATCTTTTACAATAGAACCTCAGAGTTACAAACACTGGAGTTACTCATTTGGAACTGCAAGTATGCAATCAGGCAGCAGCAGAGACCAAAAAAAAAAAAAAAAAAAAAATAAAAAATATTTTCTTTTTTAAATTTAAAATACTAAAAAAGAAAAAGGGAAAGTTTAAAAAAAAAAAAACATTTGACAAGGAAAGGAAACTGTTTCTATGCTTGTTTTATTTCAGTGGGTCTCAAACTTTTTTACTGGTGACCGCTTTCATATCGCAAGCCTCTGAGTGTGACCCCCCTCCCCAATAAATTAAACACCCTTTTAAATATATTTAACACCATTATAAATGCTGGAGGCAAGCTGGGTTTGGGGTGGAGGTTGACAGCTCGCGACCCCCTATGTAATGACCTCGTGACCCCCTGAGGGGTCCTGACCCCCAGTTTGAGAACCCCTGTTTTATTTAAATTAAGATGGGTAAAAGCAGCATTTTTCTTCTGAATACTAAAGTTTCAAAGCTGTATTAAGTCAATGTTCAGTTGTAAACGTTTGAAAGAACAACCATAACGTTTTGTTCAGAGTTATGAACAATCTCCATTCCTGAGGTGTTCAGAACCCTGAGATTCTACTGTATTGGACCAACTTCTGTTGGTGATGGAGACAAGCTTTTGAGCTTACATGGAGCTCTTCCGGTCTGAAGAAGAGCTCTGTCTAAGTTCAGTAGCTTTTCTTACCAACAGAAGTTGATCCAACAAAAGATATTACCTCACCCACCTTGCGACTCAAATATCCTGGGACCAACATTGCTACAGCACCACTGCACACAACTTTAAGAACTGTGACAGTTTTTTCTCTTTTTACCAGAATTCTAAAGTGGAGGTGAATGTGCAGAAAACACTAGTTAATCAGGAAGCAAAGATTATTGTATACAGTTTGACTGGGTCGTCAGCAGTGAACAGTAGTTTCTGAATGTATGTGAGGACAGTAAGGTTCATTCATATGTGATCACCTTGCTGAGTTCTGTTAATCAGTATTTCTGATATAAACAATGTGTGACTGATGACTTATTGTGACTGTCTTCAGTAAGTTGAGTTAACATCTTTCTCTTGTCTAATTGTGTAAATTAAACAAATGCCAAAAACTGAGGGGTTACACTCAAAATGCTGCAGCTGCACCGCTGTAGTGCTTCAGTATAGGTGCTGCCTATGCTGACAGGAGGGGTTCTCCTATTGGTAATCCACCTTTTTGAGATGGTTGCCAGATTGCCGAAAGAATTCTTCTGTCAATCTAGCACTGTATACATGGGGACCTAGGTTGGTTTAACAATGCTACTCAGGGGAGAGGATTTTCCACACCTCTGACTGACGTAGTTAAGCCGACCTAATTTTCTACTGTAGACCAGGCCTAACAGACTGTAGAGAGCGTAAGGGAAACTTAATTGTTTAATTACATACATGTTTTCTTATGTTGCAAATGATTAGTAAGCAATGCTATTAAAAATTTTTTTTTATATAATTTTATAGATTTGCTGTGGAAATCTAGGTTTTCAAAATGAATAAAGATGCACAGATGAGAGCAACTATTAACCAAAAACTAATAGAAACAGGAGAGCGAGAACGGTAAGTAGATTTTTTTTTTCTTACATGATTTTTATGCTCATTAAATGTCATAAAATGATATAGCATGAAGGATGTCCTAAAAAGTAAAAAAGGCGAAATCAGTTGTAAATGCTGCAAAACAGTTGGGAAAATCTTGTGTATTATACCAGTAAAGAAGACTTAATTAAAATATTCAAAAATAAGGAAAAATAAACCCTCTCGGCCAGTTTTTAACTAAAACAAAAAAGCTGGTAAAATAATAAGAGGTGGGAAAGTTGGCTTATAAATCCCAAGTGAACACCAGGGTTGTTGTTAATGGAGAAAACATCTTTATTGGATCTAAAATTACACCATTAAACAACGAGGTTGCAATTTATTCTTTTTTTGGGCCAAGAGGGAGAGGTGCAGTTTCCTTTTTCTGTGTTCGAATTTCTTCCCTCATGCTTCTGTATGAGAGAAGAATATGAATATCTCTCATTTAGACTTTCAGCTATCTAGTTAACAGTGAATTGGTAGCCAGAAGAGACTGGATAATAGAATTTCTAAGCTAGAACTTATTTTCTTTGCTTTCTCAACTCTCTTCTTCCTCCTCCCTCTCTTTCACCCTTCATACTATATGCACTGTTTCTCCCTCTTTGTCAGAATGTTCTAAGTTTAAAATCCCTTGCATCAGTGGATCTCCAACTCCTTCATTTTCTGAGACCCTTGAAAGAGAGAGGTCCTCTCTCATGGACATTTTCCTTCCCATTATCATGTTTTGTGAATCACTGCCATGTTACTTTTCGCTTGTTCCCCTCCTAGTTGCGATGATGTATTTTGGAATAGTGCTTTGAAAAAATGCACACTTGCTACTAGGATGCTTAAAAGGATAATGAGGCATTGTTTACTCTTAAATCAGAGTAAAATAAGTTTTTATCAACTTTTTTGGCAGGAGGAGTGGAGAGAAATTGTTTCCCTAAAATATTATTGCACAAATAAAATCTAAGCACAGTATCAGGATTGTGTTCTGTTACATACAGTGGTGGAGCAGTAGAATTTTTTCTTGAATCCAAATTATCCAAAACAGCAAAGCAACCACAATTGGTTTTAATTTGGTCTTCCAGAATCCCCTACCTTGTCCTTCCTCATCCAAACATCTTACCTCTTAACATCCTACTGGTCAAAGAGGACTAGACTTCACACTTCAGACTGCTGGGCCAACTCCTTCAGTCAAAAATGGGGGATGGCTTGAGCAAAGCAGGATGGTCGAAGGCTAAGTGCGCTCCCAGCCCATGTAGTAAAGGACCGAAATTTCTGCTACTAAGCCACTATGCTAGTTTACCACATCTTATTTTAATTTGTTTCTCCTTCACCTCTTTACGTATTAGTCTGCTGCTTTCCCATATCCAGCGTACCCCCTGGCAGTAAAGGAGGATTGCTCCTGTGCTCCTTCACCAATAGCTGAAGGAACAAAATAGAGTGAAACTGTCTTGAATCCTTTTCAGTTTTGTTCTGCACTTGTTGATTGTGCTGAGAGGAGGTTATATACCAGGCACGCTCCCCCTTTCCCAGACTTCTCTGATGATAAAAATATCCTAGGATATTCAGTGCCCAGTTTAAATCTCCAATGAAAACATAGTTTGGATACGTCAAATTCAGAGTTACAAGTGTTTCTTTGAAATCATGTCACTTACACTGAAAGTCACTTACACTTACTCCTGGCCATCTTGGATCCCTTTGAATACAGTAGCTTATTTTATTTCCCAGCATGAATTAGTGTGCAGCTGTGCCTACAAAGGCTTACAGTGATGTATTTTTTATAACCTGCTTTGAAGTGAAATATTCTTTCTTTGCAGTTAAAAACACTTTTTCTTCTAGTAAGTTTACTTTGTCATCTTTACAGCCTTAAAGAGCTGCTGAGAGCCAAATTAATTGAATGTGGCTGGAAGGATCAGTTGAAGGCACACTGTAAAGGTAATTAAGGTTAACTACATTCAACACCCTTAGTTATTGCCTAAGGTAAGAGAATAGGTACATCACTTCTAGCCAAATAAGAGTTCCAGATGAAAGCTTGAATACCTGAAGGTCAGTGTGAATAAGATAGAGATGATGCTATTGGGCAAGAGAGCATCTCAGACAAATGTTGGAGGCAGGGTATGAATGCTTTCTTATGGGATACTTTCTCACTACAACTGTACTCACATTGGTGATTTGTAGTTTTGGAATCATCTTGGATGTATCTCTGTTCACCAATTCTCAGGCAACCTGGGTAGCCCAAAATGCATTTTCACATCTTTGGCTGATGCTGACTTTTTGAAATTTCCTCTGATTTGGACTTCATTGTAGTTGCCAAGGTCTGTTGTATTTAAGCTTCTAAAATGTGTGACTGCTTGATTGCTAACGTCTAAAGAACTGATTCCGATACAGTTTTTCATTTTGACAAGTCATTTTCATGTCACAAGAGGATAAAAGCAGCAAGCAGAGAGGTATGCCATAAATAATAGTCTGTGCTAGATAAAATTTATTTAAAAACAATTGATGCCTCCCAGGACAACTAAGATATTTTCTGCAGATGTTTTGTATGGGAGGGAGGAGTGTTTGTGCATTTTTTTTCTTTTTTGTGAAAAATTTTCATGAAAACAAAATCACCGATTTAGATGAAGGAAAACAGCATCAGATTAACTGCTAATTACCAAAATGTTGTTTTCAAGTGTCGATAGTAAAGGTAAATACTGAATGTATTAAATTTAAATAAAATTCTTATTATCAAAATGGTCAGCTTCCATGAGGAACTAGCAGCTTTCTAAACCAGCACATGATTGTTTTCCTGTTAAAAGCAAAACAAAGAAAACTTTGAATATTGACTTTTAAAGTTTCTTCTGATAAGATTTACTGTGCCCAAATGGCATTTTTGATGGCAGTCACAGTACAGTTTTCAGTAGTTTATAGAGCTAGGATTATTCAGTTCTATTCTCAACTGAAACATTTTACAGTATTGGTTACAACAGTCATTATTTACAAATTCAGAGCACATTCCAGCAGTGCAGAACTATGCTGATCAAAGTTGAAATTCCTTTCAGCATTGGGTTCTGCATTTCCCAAAAGTATTTACTATATTTAAGGAAAGTGATTTTCTGAAAAATAATCCTAATATGCATATGAACACACTAAAACATGAACAGGGAGAATACTGTGAACATGTTTGCTATAGACCTGATCTTTCTAAAGGAGTACTTCCAAAATTGCTGTTATATTCCTGAGCAATTGACAGTATAGTATTAGTGTGTTTAGCTCTTTAATTGTCTTCAAATCTTTACCATTGTGCTTCTGGTTAATGTTACATATAATATTTAACTGAAATTAGAGACTTGTTCTGGCTGCAGTTCAAAGACTTGCTGCATTGCTACATGCCCAGACAGTGCCTGTCATTGGTATATATAGGATAGATTTGCTAAATGGTGGTCAAGTGAGCTTATTGATCTGTGCACTTGTCTTTTCAGGTTCTTATACCACGCCCACTGATATAGTAATCTGAACGCCATAATATGAATTAGACTAAATCCACAGTAAGATAACATATATATGATTAATTATATGATGATATATAGGATTACATATATATGATTAACCTACATATGCAGGTTTTGTATTATAATATTTGAATAGGCCTGTTTTTCTAATGAATGGATTTAAACTATTCAAGTGGTTTTCTTGGTCTTCCCTAGATGTAATCAAAGAAAAGGGGTTAGAGCATGTTACTGTTGATGACTTGGTGGCAGAAATCACTCCCAAAGGTAGAGGTAAGAAAAGTAATGTCATTTAATGCAAAAAATAATCATTAATGCCACACTAAGCTTACACATTTAAATACTCTAGAAACTTTGTCTAAGCACCAGTAACTTTAACACATTGCATATAGAGGAAACTATATAATAGCCTAACTAGTAATCACAAATGGGCTACATGTGTAAATTCATATTGCCATGAAAGCCTTATCGTTTCTGCGCTGACTCATGTATTTAAAATAAATCTTTTTATATGTAACTTTCTTTTAAAAAGACAGAAAAATCTGCTTACCAATTAAATGCCCCCGTGGTCTCATTGACTGTAGTAGAATTGTGTGTGTGGTGTATGGGAGAGATGTGTTCATATCTCTGTTGTTTTGGCTGGAGACCTCTGTGAGGCTGGGTTAACAGGGCAGTGGAATATCGGGGGGAGATAACAAGAGCAGCAGCAAGAGAGACAATTTGCATCTCATGAAGAAAAGTGCTTTGTGTTATAGTCTCCTTTTTGCAGTCCATTCAGTTGCCCCACAGCTAGTCAGGCCATCTAGGAATCCTCTAGTGTTAAAGAAGATAAAGCTGCTAATAAACAAACTAACAAAAATAGCCTATTTAATATGCTCAGAAATGAAACTTCTGAATTCCTGTTCTCGGCCCCTGGCTATTCACCATGATAGAATTCCCCTAGCTCAGCAGTTCTCAAACTGTGGGTCGGGACCCCAAAGTGGGTTGGGACCCCATTTTAATGTGGTTACCAGGGCTGGCATTAGACTTGCTGGGGCCGAAGCCCGAGCCCCACCGCCCTAGAGCTGAAGCCCAAGGTCTTCAGTCCTGGGCGGCTGGGCTTAGGTTACAGGCCCCCTGCCCAGGGAAGCTCTTGAGCTTCAGCTTTGGCCAGCTTGCCAGCCTGGGGCAGTGGGGCTCGGCCTTTTTCGCCCCTCACCCCTGCCTGCTTGGGTGAGCTCAGGTTTCGGTACTCCCTCCTGAGGTCATGTAGTAATTTTTGTTGTCAGAAAGGAGTTGCGTTGTCAGAAGGGTGCAATGAAATTTGAGAACTGCTGCCCTAGCTCTTCAGTTTGAGAACAGAGCTTATGGGGTAGAAAGTGAGTCAGATCCTTTGCTGCTGATTGCATCCCACCTATTGCCAAATATAAATCCTTCCTTCTTCTGCTCTCCAACCCCAACAGGAGACTGCTGAATTGGCTTGGTGGCGTTCTAGGAAAGTCTATCATGCATCAACAGAATTGCAGGGGCAACTTATGCTATACTGCGCTGCATATATCTTTTTCTTTTTTCCCTATTTCTTACCTGCTTTTTTTATTTATATTTCAGCCTTGGTACCAGACAGTGTAAAGAAAGAACTCCTACAAAGAATAAGAACCTTCCTTGCCCAGCATGCCAGTCTTTAAGATTGACATTAATTCTGAGTACAGTATTTTTGTGTTTCTGTATTATGTAAGTCATGCCAGAAATTGGAATACATGTTTCATGTTTTAGAATTTAAGTTCATTTTTGTATGATTAGTTACAAGTGTTTCATTACACTGCATTAATTTCTTAAACTTGCTGTTTTAATTAAAAAAAAAAAAAATTTTGTGGTTATGTGTGTTTTGAAGGCTCTTATCTTCTGTTATACTGAGTGATTTTTAAGCTGGTGACATGTTAATTTCCAGGCATCTTTTGCTACTTTGCACTAAGTCATTACATTAAGTCAATGCATTTTTTATGATTTTTGAATACATCAACCTGGTAAGTACAAACACATTCACTCTTTCAAAATTGTGTGTAAATATAATAGAAATGCAGATCTGAAAAAAGTAAATATCTGGACAATAGAACACAGTATTCTATTGTATAAATCCTGTTTAGTATGGTTAATAGTTGGATAGCACCAAGGAAAATAAGGACTATGTACAAAATTCTGTTGATGACATTCTTCCCACCAAGTACTTAACCAATATCCCATATGGTGATAGAAAGTTACAAAAAGTGCTTTCTTTGGAGTTTTTTTAGGTATATAATTTATAGGACTTCTGGATAATAATTGAACCTGGATCCACATTCCAACTTTACCAAAAGATGCTTTAACTTCTGTCAAGGCTGTATCCCCACTTTGAACTTTAGGGTACAAATGTAGGGGCCTGCATGAAAACTTCTAAGCTTATTTACCAGCTTAGCTCTGGTCCGCTGCCACCATCTCAAGAATTCCCTCTCTGGGAAGCCTTGAGAAACCTTTCACCAATTCCCTGGTGAACACAGATCCAAACCCCCTTGGATCTTAAAACAAGGAGAAATTAACCATCTCCCCTCCTTCCTCCCACCCTCCTTTCACCAACTCCTGGTGAATACAGATCCAAACCCCCTTGGATCTTAAAACAAGGAGAAATTAATCTGGTTCTTAAAAAAGAAGGCTTTTAATTAAAGAAAAAGGTAAAAATCATCTCTGTAAAATCAGTATGGAAAATAACTTTACAGGGTAATCAAACTTAAAGAGCTCAGAGGACCCCCCTCTGTCTTAGGTTCAAAGTACAGCAAACAAAGATAACCACTCTGGTAAAAGGTACATTACAAGTTGAGAAAACAAAGTAAATCTAAGACGCCTTGCCTGGCTTTTTACTTACAAGTTTGAAATAGGAGAGACTTGTTTAGAAAGATGGGGAGAACCTGGATTGATGTCTGGTCCCTCTCAGTCCCAAGAGCGAACCACCCCTTAAAACAAAGAGCACACACAAAAGCCTTTCCCCCCCCAAGATTTGAAAGTATCTTGTCCCCTTATTGGTCCTTAGGGTCAGGTGTCAGCCAGGTTACCCGAGCTTCTTAACCCTTTACAGGTAAAAGGATTTGGAGTCTCTGTACACAGGAGAGCTGTTTCCCTTCCCTTTATAGTTATGACAACTTCTTTCTTTAGTTAAAAAGAAATGCCGCTACTGCTGCATAACAACTGCAGTGTTTCACCCTTACAGCATTCCAGTGGTGTATGAGATCCAGATATACTTCAGTATACTTCATATACTGAGGCCCTTCTGGATAAAGGTACTACATACTGGCAATTTTTTTCTTTTTCATCAAGCTGATGAATCTAAAATTCTGACTAGAACAGACACAAATTGAAACAATAAATAATTGTGCTGAAATAACTTACAATCATCATCATCATCATCACTCCCATAATCGCATTGGTCGTTGGGGCACCACCATTGATGAGCAATCAACCAATTGTCACCACCCCTGACGATTGTGTGTCAGTGCTTGAGTCTCTGCAAAGTCCATTCCTGTCCACTCTTTTATTTTGTCAATCCATCTCTTCTTCTGTCTACCTCTTCTTCTCTTCCCCTGTACTGTCCCTTGGAGGATGATCTTGGATAGGCCAGATGATCTTGTTACATGGCCGTACCACTTCAGCTTGCACTTCTTCACGATCATCAGGAGGTCTTCATATGACCCAGTGTATTGGGTGATGATGTTGCGGACCTCTTCATTAGTGACGTGGTCGAAGTAGGAGATGCCCAGGATTTTATGGAAGCATCTCATCTTTACAACCTGTATTTTACGTTCAAGTTCTGCCGTAAGAGTCCATATCTCACATGCATACAGAAAAATGGAGATGACTAATGCATGCAGCAGTTTCAGTTTGGATTCCAGGGAGATGTTCTTATTCCTCCAAATTGGCTTTAGCTTTGCCACTGCTGCTGCTGTTTGTGCAGTTCTTGCCCAAATTTCTGCCTTGGATCCTTCATCAGTGATGATTGCCCCAAATACTTGAACTGTTTCACTGTCTCCAGCTCTTGTCCACTGACAGTGATATGTGAGCTGATCCCATCACGTCAGCTTGCCAACCTTGTGAAAGGATGGATGAAACCTCTGCAAAATATGGCATGGAAATCAGTGCAGAGAAAACTTACAATAATAAAACACTAAAATGACCATGAGCAAGGATGATGGTGCGGGAGGGCTTGCAGGAGGGAAGAAGTGTTTGGCTTTTGCCATGTTCAGTTTGAGTTAGCAGTGCACTCAGGAGATAATCAGATAGGCAGGAGTGAATGGAGGAGGAGCAATCAGGAGATGAATGAGGCAGTTGATCAAATTCCTTTTTATAAAGAGAAGCCACGTGAATCTGAGAACTGGAAAAAGGAATTCTTGTCATTCAAGTCACTGCGAAATGTGTGTTGGATTATAGCAGAGAAACTCTAAAATGCTATACTGAAAACCAAATGATAAAGCAACCAGCAACAATGGTGTCCTAGTAGGATTAGCTGTTAAATATGAAATACCATTGAGGTTTTGTTTTAAAAGAATGTGTGTCAAACTAGACTCTGTGGTGATGTGCACATTTCAAATGTGTAATGAGGGAAAGTAAACAAATGGTAGCTACTTCCTACAGTTGTATAAATTGTAGATATATAATAGAATGCTAAATGTCATTTTTTGTTCATAGAAATTGTTTTGCGAACTCAGTTTCTTCATCTTTGCTCCAGTCAGCCAATATCTGACAGTGTACTACAGATTCATTATAATTTGCTCCTTGTCATGCAACTTGATAGTATTAGGTTCAGTTACTCACAAAATAACTTTGCTATGTAGTGTAATGAAACACTTTTAGATTTCTGCATATATTTAAAAAAATCCTAAAACATGGGGTTTGGACGCCTTTGGGGCTGAATGGGTAAGGGCTATGGAAACATCTGGATCCCAGAGAGTAGCAACCATTTTAGATATTCAGCAGCTGGTACGTGAAATTAAGTAATAGACTCAATACAGTTCCTAGTGTCCTTTCCATCACAACTGGCACTTTAATGATCTGGTAATATACAGATATGTGATGACTTAAAAGTGCTGTCCAGAAAAAAAAAGTAATCAGAGTTAAGCACTTATTCTTTTTTCAAGTGCTTGCTCATGTCCATTTAAGGTGTGTGCGTGCCCACGTACACAGTCGGAGATTTTTGCCTTAGCGGTACCCATAGGGTCGGGTGTAGTGTCCTCTTGAGTGCTGCGCTCATGTGCTGGTATATGAGGAGCTGCCAACCCTACATCTGCTCAGTTCCTTCTTACCACCTGTGACATTTAGTCGGAGCACCTTGTCTTGCATCGCAAGAGCATTAGCAGTTCTTACAGTCCATTGTTCTGTCTCCTTTATTGTTAGTTGATAGGTACTTAGTTAGACCTTTAAGTGTTAGAGTAGTTGTTTAGGAGAGTTCCGTCTGGGACTTTGCCTTGGAGCGGGGCATGCCCCATTCCCCAGGCTTTAAGCCATGTTCATCGTGCAGCCGGCCGATGCCCATTAGTGATCCCCACGAGGGCTGTTTAAAGTCTTTGGGGAAGTCCCACAGAAAAGATAAGTGCAGGATCTGCAAAAACTTTTGCCCTCAAACTCACAAAGAGCGGGATATCTGCTTGAGGGCCCTCCTCATGGAGACTGCGCTTTGTTCTACCTTGTTGCCCTCTCGGCCGGACTGCACGCCTGGTGCGTCGGCACGCAGCGCACCACTGGCACCAGAACCCTCCCCGCACCATTCCTCCTCCCTGGTGCCTAAGAAGCACTCAAAGTCGACAGGCCTGCCAGCACTGCAGAAAAAGGAGGCTTCGGGCAGAGGACCTATGTCAGGCCACATGCCTGCCCCGGAGCTGCTCGGGGGTACCGCTGCGGTCAGCCCCCCATGTCCAGCCAGGGACCCATCTCCAACTCCTGGGAGCGGCAGGGGGTCTCGGCCCCTAGTAGGGTCATCTGTGCCCGAAGCTGGCCCAGCGGCCAAAGAGCAAGTATGCCAACCGGCACCGCAGACACCAAGCCAGGCAATGGATCCGGCCAAGGCCCCAGCATCTATGGGCAAGCTCGTTATGGGACCAGCCTGTAAAGCAGCCAAGTGTCCCTGATCCTCGGACTGCAGGCGTTGGTCCCCATCACCGCAGCCCCGGACCCCGGCACCGTAGCCTTGGTCCCCGATTAGAAGACACAGGTCCCTGACGCCAAGGTCTCCACCTGCAAGGCACGGGACACCTAAGTTGCGATCCCGATCCCTGTACCCATGGTACCATCAGGCCTCCCACCAGAGTTCGCCACGGCATAGATCATCATCGCCTATGCGGTCTCCCAGGCATCAATCCTTCCCCCCAGTGTGGGATCCTTTCCGGTCGCAGCACCAGTTTCCGGCTCCCCAGTACTGCTCTTCGGGCAGGCATTGGTCCTCGCTCTCTCCTTAACAGTCGCCTATTAGGGTCTGTCGGAGGACTCAGGCATCTACGGCTCTGCCCTGGTTACCGGCAGGGCAATGGTCCGAGCCTGAAGGGGAGTTCAGCCCTTGGCCTATAAAAGGCGAATAGCAGCGGCATGGCAGCAGGGGCAATGGCCCTCTCGGCAGTACTGGAACCTATGGGGTCTACCTATTATGCCGGTCCCGTACTCCCACTGTTCTTCCCAGGCAACATTGGACAAGTTGCCCCCGGCACAGCCAGCATCCAACTCTGAGCACGGTGCCAAATCCAACGCGGGTGACACAGTGGGCCCCAATGCCCAAGGAGCTGTCTGTGGACGAGCAAGGGGAAGCCACCCATCCCCTGTTGTGCAGTCATCTTCGTCTCCAGACGAAGCGGTGTCGAGCCCCTCA